TGGCGAGTGCACGTGCCCTATGGCAAAAACCTCTCCCCCCCAAAAAAAAAGGAAAAAAAAAAAGAAAAGAACATATTTTAGTATGTTTAACGTTTATAGGAAATAAGTCAGTGTAGAAAGAGATTGAAGATTCAGAAGAGAAAGGTGACAGGGTTGATAGCCAATGAGCCAGTAGATTTTCTGGCACAGGAATAGGATCCAGAGCAACAAAGAGTGAATGAGCCTCCAAAAGAAGGAGGGATAAGTCACCTACTGAACTGGAGAAGAGAGGAAAGGGTACACAAAAGAGGGTGCATGTAAGTGCATCCACATGGGGACAGCAGATTAGAGAGTCATTTCTGATGGGTTTTATTGCTTGTGAAATCGAGCCAGTTGGGAACCAGCAGTTAGCGTAATGGTTATGTCGCTGGACTCCCAGGTAGTCGACTGCAGTTCGCGTCCTGGACCCAGTGGCTTAAAACTCATGCTGGGCGCGTGTGCATGAGTGCCCAAGATCCCGAGAGGAGAATGGAGGAGAAGGGGTTGCGGAGTGACCATCCCCCCTGGGGGGTGATTTCTCGCTTTCTGTCTCTATGTCTCTCTGTCTTTCTGGCGAGCGCACGTGTCCTATAGCAAAAACCTCTCCAAAAAAAAAAAAAAAAGAACTAAAAAAAAAAAATCAAGCCAGTTGATCTAAGAGTGAGATGGGGAGGCAGTAGGAGGGTTTGGGTAGAATGGAAAGTCACAGGGACTCCTGGTAATCAACAAATGACCCTCCTTTCCTGTGTAAGTCTTCCATTTGTAATTTCTCAGAGGACCTCACTGAGTCGCTTTATCATGATTTAACCTAAATTTCTCTTGTTTTGGTAAGATTTTTGGATCAAGTCACTTCATAGATGGTTGGCGTCCCTACTATTCTTCTAGTTTTGTGGCTTAAGGTAGTAGAGACAGATTCATTCAACCCGTGAGGCATATGGAATAGTGGCACGTCTGTACAGAAACACTTGCAAGAGAACTTTTCTCGAGAGGGTGCTGTGGGTGTGGAGCCAGCAGTGGTAGAGATTGCTAGTGTTTCAGTTCCAAACGTTCTTTTTCCTGAGATCTGTCTCCATCGTTTTACAGACGAGGAGCTGGAAACACAGCAAGGTCAAGGCCCACAACAGGACTCCTCATTTTTCTCCCAGACTAGCTTCTTCTCTTGAATTCATCATCTTAGACTTGGGCATCTCCATTCCGACTCCAGAATTCTATGCCAGAGAGCTAGGAACTATGGTGGGTAGGTCTCTTCCTCTATCCTAGTGCTCACTGTCACCATTTCTTGCTATTTCTGTTTCCATCCACATATCCAAATTCATCCCCATTGTTATTTTTCCCAATTTGGGAGTATTCAGCCTGAACCAGGGCAATCTCATCCAATCCTTGGTGTTAGTCTTTGCCAGAGTAGTCAGAAGGCTCTTCCTATCACCCAAATCTGATTGCACCTCACTGCTGTCAACATTAAGCAGAGGCACGGTGCTTGGTCTTGGTCTGGCATCTACCCATCTGTTCTGCCTCAACTCCTGCCACCTGCTGCATGCGCACATATGTTCTTTTTCTTTTTAAAGAATTATTTATTGGGAACCAGCAGTTAGCGTAATGGCTATATCGCTGGACTCCCACGTAGTTGACCGCGGTTCGCATCCCAGACCCGGTAGCTTAAAACTCACGCCGGGCACATGTGCATGTGTGCCCAAGATCCCGAGAGGAGAATGGAGAAGGGATTGTGGCATGACCATCCCCCCTGGGAGGTGATTTCTCGCTTTCTGTCTCTATGTCTCTCTCTGTCTGTCTGGCGAGCGCACGCGCCCTACAGTGAAAATCTTCCCCCCCCCCAAAAAGAGGATTATTTATTTATTTACTTATTTTCATTTGTTATATTATTGTTTAATTTGAAGAGAGAGAGAGAGACAGAGAGGAAGGGAAAGCTAGAAAGGAAGCCGCCAGATCCAGGACTCAAATCATGGTTGGCCATGTGGGAATCCAGTGGCTTTAACCACTATGCCACCTACTGGCCCTGTACACATGTATGTTCTAATAAAGCTGAATTGTTGGTGGTTGCCCAAACATGTTACACTCTCTTATCCTTAATTTCTTTTGGGGAGTGGGACGGTATTTATTTTGTGAGAAAGAGAAGCTCTTCCAACTGGATCCTAATGCCATCATCCACCCTCAGCCTCATTCAGCCATGGAGGTGCACATGCACCTGGGATGTTCAAGGAAGTCTCTGGACATGAATCTGGAACTTTCCCACGTGGGTCAGCCTCACAGAGCACTGCATTGTCACCGTGCTATGGTCTGGCCCTTTTGAACCTTCATTTTCTTCAGGCCATCTCCTGTGCTGCTCCTTTTACCCAGAGTCACTTTCTCTGCCCTCTTCCCAAACCCCTCCGCATGTTCAGGTCCTAGCTCAAAAGCTCTCTCCTCTGAAAACTCCACTCTCCTGAGCTTCCGCTGCATCTTGACGGTGCTTCCTCTCGGGCATCATCCTTTGGACTTGCAGGTGAGGCGTCAGTCTTCTGGGGACTTGGTGATCTCTTGAATGCAGGAGAGCTTTGTCTCAACTTTGAATACCCAGTTATCAATACATGTGTGTTGAAAGGAGATGACTAATCGACAAGACATTTGCCCTGTTTGAGCAGGGGGGGCACTGACCCTTGAGTCTGGAGAGGCAAAGGGGATTTGTTCCCAGTTTACACACACCTCATTCATGACACCATGTTTAAAAAACAGAAGTCCTAGCCACTGAGCATAAGGAGAGTGTGTGGAAACTGAAAAGGCTGATACCACCTGGGATCTCAAACAGGATTTTTTCTTTTCTTTCTTTTTTTTTTTTTTTAAGGAGAGAAGTGTTTATGACCCCATTTTGCCTTCTACTTTACTTAAATAGCTGAAAGAAGGGTGACTTCTCTGACTCCCAATTCTCACAGATGGTCTCTTTCTCACAACCTGGAGGGGCCCCTTCTCCAAAGGGGTCAATCTGGTTTTGGGAGGTGGTCCACTGATTGGTCTCCTTAAGCTGTCCTGGAACAGCCAGGATTTAAGGGGAAATCTGAGAAATAAATGAACAATCTTCAATTTTAACTTAGCTAAGAAAACCCACTGTTAGGCCAATTGCTTGCTTGATGGGGGGGTTGTTAGAGACAACAAAACTAGACATTGGTTAAAGCATTTCATTGAGACTGACAGTAGGGGAAGGGGGAAAGGACAAGGCCGGAGCTGGGTCCTGATGTGTGCAGAGGTGACTGAGCATCCTAGAGGGGGAATGGAGGCATAGGGAGGGGATGTCATGGCCGTCATTCTATCCTCCCAGAGACTGGGAGACAGAGGCCCTGTCTTCCCTGAGGTTGTATTCTGGAGCCTGTATTTCTCCATATCCTAGAGAAAGACACAGGTGAGCTATGAAGATACGTGTGCAGCTCCAAGTGAAAGAGGAGAGTCACAACTGTAAACCCTTTTTAGTAAATGCCCTGAGACAGCTGGCCAAGGGCCTGCAGTCACGTGTTGGCTAGAACAAACAGTAAAATCTGGCAGCCTGGAGCTTGCTCAGGCGGACTTTCCAATATCGGCAGGGGTGAAGGTGGGGGGTTGGGGTCTTGGTGCTGGCAGAAGGTCTAGACTCTAGTTCTCTCTTAGTGCAGAGATTAGACCGAGCCTTACGGGCACAGTTCTCACAGCGACATGTCAGAGAGTTGGTCGCAAACATCTCAAACTCTCCATTGGGCCACCCACCTTCGCGTTTGAGGATGTCCTTTTCGAGCAACGAAGTGCGCAATATTAGCAGAGAAGGGGACATAGAGGGTGGCTGCTGAAGGGTCACGCTGCATGGGGGACTGTCGCCTCGAAGACGTGAAGGAGGGAGAAGGAAGGCGGAAGTGAACGCTGGCAGAGAAACTGGGCGATTCGCTTGCTGGCGTTGGGCGTTACGGCCGCCGGAAGCCCCCCAGCTCCCAGCCGCCCTCTGCCCGCTTCGCGTAGTTTCCGCGCGGCCCTGGGCACCGCTGCCGGCCAGCCCCCGCCTCCCTGTGCCCGCCCTGCCCCCGG